ACGGTTACAAACCTCGACTGTAACATCTCCAAATAATAATAATAATAATAATAATAATAATAATAATAATAAATAAGATAGCTAGTTATTTGATGTAGGTGGTAAGTATCAGTACACGAATTGCCTTTAATAAAGCCAGCTAACATAAAAAATGAATATAAATGGCATGATATGGACTGCTTGGGGTTAATGTGCAATTAAAGTATTTTTAATGGAAATAACTAAGACTATAGACCCTAATTAATGAAAATGAAAATAGATATATATATATATCCGTCCAAATTTTAACAGTCAAATTAGCCACCGTTTAAGATGAAACGGCAACTATAAATGTTATGGACCCAACACCACCTACACATTGTACCGCCAAAACACATTGAATTTTGCAACTTCACATGTAGTTCTATATTTTATAATATCATTAAATATGCACCATCCAAATTTATGCTATTGACGAGCGTAAAAACTTTTAACCCAAAGTTGGATATTATTGTAGTTATTATTGGAACTGAGTAGACATGGTCATGGACCAAACTCTCGTCGGTTCGGCTCGAACTGGCACAATCAGTCCGTTGACCATGAGTCTTAAATCGGCCCGTGATTTTGACCAGTCCTGTTCATGTTCAATACTTTATAGTTTATACATTTTGAACTGGTGGTTTGAGTTTCGAATTAGAACTGGAGGTTCGTCCTCTTTTTTTAATAAAAAAAAATATTTTTTAATTATATTTATTTCTTTTAATGAAACGGACGGCCAAGAACCTACAATTCAATGAATCGACCAGTGAATATGTTGGGGTTAACGATTTCAACCCACAATCGGTTTTGCCATAACTAGAATCGAATTACTATTAACATATTTCGGTTCGAATTGTGAAAACTCAATCTCGACCCGTTTATGCATTTAAATAAGTCAAACTCAAATAGCTAATCGAATTTGTCGATCAAACAAAGTCGAATCAACTCTGTAAGAGTTTTTTTTTTTTTTTTTTTTTTTNNNNCTACGGAATGAGGCCAAATTAATTATTGGAGGTGAATTCAACAAAAACGAACGAAAATGGCTAACAAATTGTGCGATGAGACAAGCCCAAAATAGCCCGCATGAGAAGAGTGCGTCAAGCTTACCTATCCAACTCATTTAGTACTTGTCAAATCAACCCATTAAAAATTTAAAAGGCATTAGAGTGTTGAGTCACATTATAAACTCAATTGATAAAAATTTAATAAGAGCATAACTGTCATTTGACAATAAAGAATTGTATTCGTTCCTCTCACTACGATCATCACTTATCTACCATTGTTGTCAAATGAATAAATTTGACCTGAATCTTGAGATATCCAGCCTGAAATTAGATGGGGCTTAACAAAAAATTACATAGGGCTATATATAAAATTTTCAAAATTTTAAAGTTAGAACTTTTTTATGGACCTGGGGCCGAGCCCACCCTAGCCAAAGGATGGCTCCGTCCTTGTACATGACTTGATGCTTATGGAAACAGGGGGAGCTACGATCTTATTTTTTCGACTAGTATGCGACGTTGTGCCTTATAACTAAAGTATTATAAGTTATTAATATTTATATAATATTAAAATTATAAGTTAGGTAATGCTATTAAATTTTTAACAGAGTATTATATGTTATATTTATGTATATAGTATTAAAATTATAAGTTAGATAATGGTGTTATGTTTTAAAATTTGATCATTAGTTAAATTAATAGAGCGTAACTATTTGATTGCATATGAATCACTATAATGATTATAAAAAATGTAATAAATAATGTAATATTTGTAGTTTTGAGAGATCATGACGAATTGTTTGCTGAAAAGATTAAAGTTATTACAACAATTGTTTATGTGATTTTAAGGAATTTTATTATGACATTGAAATCAATTAATTTATTTATAAAATAATAGCTTAATCAGATAAAAAAAATATAATATTTATTTTAGAATAAAAAACTTGAACAAAAATTTTTACTATATAATATGTTTTGTTTATGTGACTTTCATGTATCATCTAGTGTAAAATATAATTATTAATTTAATAATAACTATTATATAATACAATAAAGAATATAATCTTTACCCAGTTATTATAAAATGTAAAGATTTTGTCTTAATTGACATAATTAGTTTTTTAAAATATTTTGTAAGTGCCACGTAGCAAAATTTATAAGGCAAAATTTATGAGGTTTTATTTAACGAATTGCTAGCAATTATATATTTTAATTAGATTATATTAATTAACCTCCGTGTTAATTTTATATTTTAAATATTGGCCTAAAATAAATTAAATATACATTAAGTTAAATTAAATCAACGAACTATATATGCTTGAACATAATTAAGTATCGTTCCACTTTTTTCTAGCTTATTATGTTGTTTTATGTTTTCTTCGTATTTATGTTTTATCATTTAATTAAATAGAGTTCATATTAAAAAATATATATTCGAGATAATATATGATAGCATTTATATTTCATCTTATATGGAATATATCAGTTGAATTATATATTGATTTTATATATATAAATATAATTATAGGCTATCAAGTTAATGCAAATGACAAATATTCTAACCCATTTTTTCAATTAGTTATGGTAAAATAGTTATATTTATTAATAATTCTGATAGGACAAAGATGTCACCCGGGCTTCTTCGAATCGGACAGCCACCGTACCTGCAAGAACCCAAAGTCGGGGACCCCGGGAGGGGTGCCCGGCTTTGGGCTTCCAATGCTTAAGTCAGTACTGGATTCATATGAGAGTGCATAGAGAGTATGTAGAGAGAGAAAGAGAGGATGTAGATAGAGAATGCTTAGAGATAAATGAGTACCTTCTCCCCCTTTTTATAGGGGGAGTGTACCTTATAATCCAAGTTGGGCCTGACCTAGGTTGGGCTCAACCCATATTATTATATCAAGTCTTTTAGCCCATATATAGGCGTATTCTTCAATATATATCCATAAAAACCATTCGAATAGGACATGCTATATCAAGATACTATCGGTCGAGCCGACAGTACTAGCCGTGGCTATATCAAATTCCATGTAATCATATGTTATTGGTTATTCTATCATACAATAGTTATTACAAAATCATCAAATATTATATTGCATTTTTGCAAGCTAGTATTATTAATCTTAATTATATATTTAATTTAATGGCATGAAAAATAAATAATTTATATAATAATAATAATAAAGATTTTTTTTTCAATATTTATCTCGGTAATTAACTAATTAATCATTATCCTCGA